TCCTACACAGGACCATCAATATCAATCGCAATAGGGCCAAGAGCTTCGGACAACCATGTCCATTTCTTGGACTCCAGTTTGACCAATGGTAAGTTGCCAGGTATGGGCGGCTATTATTATTCGAAGATAGTGCTTAACGTCTATGGTGGCATACCAATCCTACCTACAATAAATGCTAGGCCAAACTATTAAGGGCCCAATCGTAAATTACCACATGGGTATTTTCTTTTATTTGAGGATGACTTCTCACATTTTCGAACAGTATATTATCTCAAAACTAAAGATGAAGCTGTTTCCGCAAATTGAATAATTATCCGGAGATGAATGCAAATCAATTTGAAGAAAAATAGAGTGCTGATACAAAAAAGTTATTTGAGGAACCCAGTGATTTCCACTCAAAACTCAATGCTTATAGTCCTGAACAGAATGGACGAATTGACAGAAAAATACGTACTATTGTGGAGTCAGCTCGGTCTGTTGACTGTTATACATGCTGCGTCATTGAATTAGCACATCAAAAGACCAAAGTCCAGCAGAGTTGTAGTTTAGAAGAAAATTGTATGAGAATAAATTAAAAAGTTTTGTGACTGCTGTTTTGATTGAAACCAAATTAGAGAATTTTTGTGGGATATGATTTAGACTCGCCTTGCTATAGGATCTACATTCCTGAGGGAAACGCTTCAAACGCGAATTGCTTCAGAATTATCTGAAATTTTACCAGCCTATTTGTTGCATAAAAAAAAAACAAAAAAAAAAACATTTGTTCCTAAAACACGCATTTCTAAGAATTAATAAAAAAAAAACACTTATTTTCACGAAGTTTAACTAACACCCTGGTATCTGAAAAGCGAAGCATTTCTGGACACATTGTAACGTTTTCAATTTCTTGGCTAATAAGCTACCTTGTTTTGCCATACTGGATATGATTCCATATAGAGCTACAATGAAATAAATGAATAAACAACTATCTTTTTTGGGCCCAGATTTTGTTACCTTGAGTGCTGCCTTCTACTAGAAGTTTTTTTGGTTCAGGTTTGCAAGTTTGGTTAATTGATCTAGGAAGGTTTGATTCAGTACGGCAGGGCCCGCTGTTATTGATTAGAATCTTAGGAAAAGGAGTTAGTACCATCATCATATCTGTGTGCAAATCCATTCAATGATCTGAGGTTATGATAATAATTGTTGTTTTTTTGTACTCTTTGACTTTTCATTTCCATCATGTCATTGAACAGCTGTTTTGTCTAGGCGTTTTCTTTAGACCTTTTGATATATGTTCTATAGGCACTTTTCAACATTCACCAGTCATTTTTTACACAACCGATTCTCAGTTCGTACTTTTGGGGTGAAACTGAACACGTCCTTTTCTATAATTTTCTTCAATGTCAAAATTAGAAGTTTGACAGATGAAAGTCTTCTTCCGAAATCTAAATTCTAAATGAAGAATCTCCCCTTTTGATCTGCGACCTCATGCTGAGTAGTCGTCCGGTCTCGGGCCTCGGCCCTAATTATTTTTGGGGCGAGACTTTTTGGAATGTTGTGCCAGGGAGTTTTAGACTAATTTCTTGCTGATAATTGTCTAGAGTCGTCCCTTGGTCATTTTTGGATTCTGTTTCGGACTGCTCCGAGCAGCATTTGGAAGTTTAAGACTTCACCTTTGGTCTAGAGTATCCCTCAATTTGAGGGTCCTAGTCTCAGGCTATAGTTGGACCATCCTACTCCTAGTCTCAGGCTATAGTTGGACAATCCTACTCTTAGGCTATAGTTGGACAATCCTACTCTTAGGCTATAGTTGGACAATCCTAGTCTCAGACTATAGTTGGACAGTTGCTAAGCTGTATTTAGAGAGATTCTAGACTGGATCTAGATTGCTCTCAGTTGGGGCTTTGGTAGCCATTCTTCAGCAACTCTCTTGGTGCCACTCTGGCAGAACCACGTCGAGTTCTACGTTGAACGGATACAACGTGGATAGGACTCATGACTCACTTACCATACCTTAGCCTATCTATAGTGAGACCAAACCTGTAGATAATCTCACTTTGGAAACTTCTGGATTTTCACATACATTTCACTTGTATACATGTAAGTTGCACCTTTACTATTTAGGCAAATCTTATGTAAATCACTTGATACTAAATCAGGTTCAGTAAGTGCCCTTTAAATAAAATTCTAGAATTTTACCCTGAGGTTGCCCTAACAATAACTTTCATCTTTCTGTGTTTAATTTGCCTGTTGGTAAAGTGTAACCCATACTGTAGTTTTCTTATCACTCACAAGTGTAAATACCAAAAGGTTTTTAGTCATGTTTACTTAAAATTCATATTTATATATGCGTTATTTACATTAATTTTTTATAATCAAATATTTATAAATTGGTACAAGCCATAATGATGTCCTGGCCATCCCTATTCATTATTGTTATGATTTTTTAATAAAGAAGCCAGATACATTATTGTACCTAATTAGTTGTTTTATTGATAAGCTCTCCAATTGCACAGGTTTTGTTTAAACATCATTAGGTTATCTTCCTAGTTAAGTCACAATTAACTTGGTGGCGCCCAAAGGTAAGATGTATATAAGGAACCCATAGACCCATGGCCTCCGGACTGGTGCTGACTAGCCGTATGCAGTATAATTAGGCAATTGCCAAAATAAGTACGTTATAACATATTTATATAAAAAAAGGTTAATTATCACGAGATCTACCATCTCTAGAAGTTTGAAACAAATTTTTCATGATAGTCTGTATTTACCTACACCTTTTCACGAAGCCATGTCCATTATTGTATTATCTTTAACAAAGGATACATTTTCAAGCCAAATGTACGACCACATTTGACAAAGCAGTTGCCACGTGCCTCTCAAATTACGCAACGTCCCATTGTGCCACTAAATTCGAAGAAGCTTTGTCAGCGTATTCAGCATCACCGACAGTTACCGTGAGAAATTTGCTGACTCTATAATTTTAGCTGGTCGGTAGAATCTAGTTAGGAGTTAGTTTGAGAAATAAAAGTTTTTAGAAACTTATTTGATGCATTGAGTTCTAACGCTAGCTTATATTACCCTTAGTTGTACTTGCGTAAGTATTATTGAGTAATCTCGTTATTTCATTTTGCTTATTGATTCCTTGGAACAATCTTTCGATCTCTATCATTTATGCCTTTATTTAATTGCGGCATTTTCACGTCTCTCTTTTCATTTCGCCGGTTACTAACCTCTTTAACAACGTGCGAGAAACACGTGCTGCCAATAATAATGCAGATACTCATCGTACCCTGTTTGATGGAGATCAAATTTTATTACAAACTTGTGGTTGATAAAGTGATAATATCGTAGGAAATGGAAAAACACTTTTGGTCATACACATTGGAAAAAGGTCTAGAGGCGAAGCTGCACCACTCTGAAATTTTCATAAAGCCTTATGCAGAATTTAAACATTTGCTCCAAAGATTCTCCAGATTTCTATAACATAGTTTTTCTACAAAAACCGTCTACACTCAATACCGATTAGAAAACCAGCCACTGGCAACAAAATGGTGAAAACACCATATTATTTCAATAGGTAGTGTCAGAGGTTAGGCTCTACAAAACCGCCCAAAAGTTCATGGAAGAAAGTTAATTTATTCCATTTCGTAACGTAACCTCTGGAAAATAATATAGCTTTAAGCTATATTGAGGGAAATTACAAATTTTTCCATTATATGAGAAAAAAAAACATCCTCCTACTAAGTATCAAATTAAACTTTTTTCTGAACAGTCTTCGAGGGTATTTGAATAAATTCAACATATACTTACGCAATTTTACATGGGAAACGAGAAAATAAGGCAACTTAATCTTTTTTTTATTAAAAGAAGTGAAAAAGTGCCTAAGGCCTCTAATAAAAATATTTTTATTTTTGCCAGCTACCAGAGATGGATCGTATCAATTTACGAATGTCAGAAAAGCTTGTTAGGTGTGTATCATAATTTTTTACCCGAGAAAATATTGTGTTTCATGAATTCTCTCTTAATTATTGTTTGCTAAAGATTTCATCTATTACTTTGACTATCATGTAATCTAATCCTAGAGATACTTTTTTTTGCTTCAACAATTAACAATAAGTAAGTCAAATTATTCCTCACGTTTTCTCATCATTGAGCCCTTTGTTTAATATTCTTTATATTCCAAGTTGCTATTTTCCATATAATATGTTTCTTTTGCTTCCTTGTAGCTCCCAATTATCTTTATTTTCACTTATGTATATATGTAAATAAGAGGACCCGCATTAAACATAGTAGTTCTATAAAACAATAACTATTTCCCTAACTATACTATTCTCGAACGATAATTACCAAACCATTATTATTTCAGCAAATTGTCCAAATATTGAAAATTTAACTAAACCCAAATGGAAATTCGATTCCACCAAATAAACGCTGAGTATCTGAGTTTCAAACTAATTTATTTAGTTTAAAGCTGCACGATTTGTGAGTGAATAATGATGCCGATATCCGGATTTGTACGGATTATTTAGTTGCTTTTGGAATATTTTCTAACTTCATCCTTTAACTGATGTGCCATTTATATGAAACAATAGTTATTTGTTTTACTAGGCAGAAAAGTACAAGATTTAATGCCGCGGCTGGTGTTTCATAGCCGAGGCATAGCCGAGGCTAGGAAACCAGCCAAGGCATTAAATCTGCTTTTCTGCCATGTAAAACATATAATTTTTTCTCCAAATGTTCAAATTCACACATGGACATCTTTTTTATATTAATTTCATTCATTATTATTATCCAAATAATTAAATTATTTTGACAATTGTCATTGTCACCATCAATTTCAAATACCAAATTGAGAGAAATTATTACCTGGAACATTGTGACACTGTCACTTTTAATGCCTAGGCAGTAAAAGTCCACTTTTACTGCCTAGGCAGTAAAAATACAACTTTTGATCCTGTCAAGTGTCATTAAAAGGCCGCTTTTACTGTCATTTGGAGAAAAAATGATTTTTAGCTTACCTGCTTTTACATGTACTTCTCGACTAAGCACCACACCCAAAGTACTTTTGAGCTTACACCTATAGATAGCAGTATGTACGTCGTGACGGTACCGGTCGTTGGAAAATGGGGGAAAAATCAACGATCCGTTGGGATATATCAGTCGTATGTCGGGAATCTGAAAGTAGAATAAAAAAGCATTAGTACAGGAGCTAGAAACACATACAAGTAAAACTTCCAGTTGTTAAACGACTTTCGAGGGCAGAGATTACACATGTTTCGGAACAAACTTTCACGTAAAACACATTATCTGGGCAACCTTTCCGCCCTTTTATCCGGGAGGAAACTCTCTCGGTGTGTTTCCAGGACTTTTTTGCTCCCTTTCAGATAGACTTAAATTTCCGAAAAAAAGGAAAGCGAATAAACGTTAGCCTTATTAGGTTGGAATTTTTTTAGCCAAATTTCCATATAAAATTACAATTTTATTTTTCCTGGGCAAACATCTCGGAGAGTAAAAAACATGTCGTAATATAAAGGGAAAAACACACACAAAGGGGGTTGTTTATTTATCTTAAACTTCTGCAAACACGGGAATTAAATGAACATCCTGAAGAGGAGGAAAATGGCAATAAACCGCTCTTGGCGAGCTTTGTTGCCAAATCGCGTATTATTAACATACACAAAGGTTGGAATTACAAACAAAGCAGAAATGCAATTTCAGAGTGGACTGACTTGTTTATACTCAAGCAGAATGTTTAGTCGATTTTAGTTCCTGAGTTTGATTTAGGTAAGTTGCGGCCGAAATTTATTTTTGAGTATAACTCTATGGCCTTAAAAAATTATTGGATTTCTTGATTTGGTTGGAAAATCAAGTGATACAGGTTTAAGATTACAGAATATAAAATATAGTTTCATACAAATCAATAGAAGTGCATACATATTATGTATAACTGATTAAGAAATAGATTTCTAAAATTTGCCGCTAGAAAAAACAATAATTTTATTTAAAAATTGTGTGTAGAGTTTTAGTTACTCAACCAATTTTTGGATCAATATAACTTACATACGGGCATTAGGCCGGCATACACACACGTTATTTCGCGCGGTTTATCGTGTCATCTGCAAAAACCTGTGAAAAATCATGTGCGTGAGTTAGGAGGGCTGCGCGCAATGATAGAATGGGAAGGGATTTCAGACGTGCTTTCATCTGGAATGTGGCGTCAGTACTCAAGTACATGATAGTGCAGTTCACAACCGTGTCCACACGTCATTCCACGTCACGGTTTTGAGGCTAGTACGGAGACATAAACGCCGCGTAGCGAACTATCATGTTGAAAATTAGTACATGACAACATGCACTTTCAAACGACACGATAAATGACACTTTTTACCCATACACATAGGGTTTTTCCTTTCCAACTGATATGCCGCGCGTAATCACGTGCTAAATCATTTGAATACTTTGTCAAGTGTATGGAACATGACGCTTTTTTTGCCACGCCGTTCTTTCGCGCGTGCAATCCGCTACATCCCAACACGCCACGATAAACCGCGCGAAATAACGTGTGTGTATGTCGACCTATTGAAAGAACGATTCAAATCACAAAGTTTCTAAAAATGTTCGAATGAATATTTCAGCTTTTTCCCCTTTCTTGTTATTTCCACTCTCCTGACCCTACATATTTCGAGGTAATCCTAAAATTGAATAAAAATACAAAAAATCTATCTAATTATATTTTCGATTCAGAAACTTCTATTTTTAAAAAACATTTATTTTATTAATTAAAATACAATAGTGACAAACGAAAATATGTGGATTAAATTGCTACAGGGAATGCGCTGGCTTAAATAAGAAATATCTGCTGATGCAGCACTTACGTAGGCGGAATGGTGGTACTACCAGTGGAGTACCGCTGATTATGCAGTTTTATATTATTATAAGTTTTGACATAGGCGTACGCTCATAATTATCATAGGAAAGGAGAATTATTAGTACAAAGATAACATAGGATCTTACAATATAACTCCTCCCTCCTTAAGTGGTTGCAAATTGGGATTGACTAACAATGTTGGGCAATTCAATCTGCACCTCAGTTTTAGTTTTATCATATTTTCCCCTAAATTATAGAATAAGAATAATGGTTATGCAAATAGAACTTAATACTACGATTATAATATAGGTTGACACATTATTGGTTTTCAAATCTAACACTTTTAATGGGTCAGTCTTTAAATTCTTTGCTTCTTTAATCGCTGATTGAAGAGCTTCGTAATCGACTGCTCTTAGTCTTACAGTTGTGGTATTCTCTTTGGAAATTACGATTGGACTGGAAATGATTTCTATGTACTTCTTCTGGTCACATTGCAGCATTGCTGTTATAGTTGGGGAGCTGGCGTCAAAAACATGCAAGAGTTTTCGCAAGGCGGATATTTTCAAAATAGGTCGTACTTTAGTGTTAGAATGCTAGTGTACAGTCAGCACTCACAGTTCCGGGACAGCTGGCTCTGGGACGCGAGCAAAGTTGTAATTTTAAGAAGCATCTAAACTGTTTTCTCAAAGCTCAAAATTTATAGAAATTTTGCACATTATCTGTTTGAAGGTTACAGATAACGTATGTAAATCGTCAGACGTCTAGTTCCTTGCAAAAACGGGGTCAGACGTCCTCAAAGTTTTTATTTTATGGCATTTTCTTCGGTGTCCTGTCAAAATATATTTTTGCAGGTATTTGACAAATATATTTGAAGAAAATGCCATAAAATAAAAACTTTGAGGACGTCTGACCCCCTTTTTGCAACGAACTAGACGTCTGACGATTTACATACGTTATCTGTGACCTTCAAACAGATAATGTGCAAAATTTCTATAAATTTTGAGCTTTGAGAAAACAGTTTAGATGCTTCTTAAAGTTACAACTTTGCCCGCGTCCCAGAGCCAGCTGTCCCGGAACTGTGAGTGCTGACTGTACACTAGCATTCTAGCACTAAAGTACGACCTATTTTGAAAATATCCGCCTTGCGAAAACTCTTGCATGTTTTTGGCGCCACCTCCTGGACTATTACATGTCGTTTTGGAATAACCAATATTTGATTATTGGGTATTTCTTCAACTGTCGATTCTTCATATTAAATTTTCGTGAATGGGCATAATAGGCTCGTACAGCATATTTTTGTTGTTACATATTCTAAAAGAACGTGTTGAGTTTAGCAGTCATGCAAAATTTCATAATTTTCTGAGTCCTTGTTCATATTTAAATAAATTATCAAAGTACTCCAAATTTGAAACACGCGGTGACGTCACTGCATCTCTCACGTCGGTCGTCGAGGTGCTGGTACGCCAGTCACTTCGACAATACGGGTATTGTTTTGACAAATTTTGGTTTGGCATCGTTTAGACAAGTTTGAGTTTGGCGAGTTTGGCATTTTATGTATCTGGTAGAGGTGTGATATTTTTCTTCCAAATCACATTTCGCATATTTGAATAATCCCCTGAGTTTCAATATTTTATAAGCACAATTATGGAAGTAGCATGCAAAAAGAAAAATTTAAAATTTTGTATAGTTCCGCAAACTGTGTGCCAAACTGTTAATAGAAAATCAGTTGACATTGCGTTATGCAAAACCGTGTATGACGGCCTTCAGCCTGTCTCGACTCCAATTAGATAGGCTTGAAAGCCCGTAATTGGATCAGCAAATGACAAGATGTCAACTCATTTGCTCACGGTGAGGTTTTAGTGGGTATGTCCTCTCTTCATTGCACCAAGAAGAAGAGGGAGAGCCCCACACTACCCAGTTCAGGCGAACTGGGTGTGCATAAGGCGCATTTCCTCACCTTACCAAAAAAAAAAAAAAGACTCGAGAGATGCTATGACGTCACAGCAATGAATTTCTGAGGCATAACTGTTTTAATATTAAAAATCGCGTAACTTTTTTAATATTTATCCAATTGAGCTGAAATTTTTTTTATGTGCTGTATGTAAGTAATACTCCTTAAAAATATGAAAAACCACGTTAAAAAATTTCATTGAACGAGCCTATTGTTGAACTTCGTTGACCAGTCAGAAACAACTACTCCGAGGGCAAATACCCCTACCGGCGTTGAACTACACTGATTGGTCTGAGCTTTCGTTGGCAATAGAAATTGTTAGAAAGATTTTTACAGGTAAGGACCAACGTGAATACAGGGACACTTCGGTCCCTGTTTGGGAATCGGCCCACTGAGCAGTGGACTCAGGCTTCCCGTGCCAATCCTTGACGCGTTTCGTCCTTGTTAGGACTCATCAGAAGGACATAGGCTGAAGCTCCCTGTCCAAGCAAAATTGAACTTCGTTGACCAGTCAGAAACAACTCCTCCGAGGGCAAATACCCCTACCGGCGTTGAACTACACTGATTGGTCTGAGCTTTCGTTGGCAATAGAAATTGTTAGAAAGATTTTTACAGGTAAGGACCAACGTGAATACAGGGACACTTCGGTCCCTGTTTGGGAATCGGCCCACTGAGCAGTGGACTCAGGCTTCCCGTGCCAATCCTTGACGCGTTTCGTCCTTGTTAGGACTCATCAGAAGGACATAGGCTGAAGCTCCCTGTCCAAGCAAAATTGAACTTCGTTGACCAGTCAGAAACAACTCCTCCGAGGGCAAATACCCCTACCGGCGTTGAACTACACTGATTGGTCTGAGCTTTCGTTGGCAATAGAAATTGTTAGAAAGATTAACAGGTAAGGACCAGTCCCTGTATTCACGTTGGTCCTTACCTGTAAAAATCTTTCTAACAATTTCTATTGCCAACGAAAGCTCAGACCAATCAGTGTAGTTCAACGCCGGTAGGGGTATTTGCCCTCGGAGTAGTTGTTTCTGACTGGTCAACGAAGTTCAATTTTGCTTGGACAGGGAGCTTCAGCCTATGTCCTTCTGATGAGTCCTAACAAGGACGAAACGCGTCAAGGATTGGCACGGGAAGCCTGAGTCCACTGCTCAGTGGGCCGATTCCCAAACAGGGACCGAAGTGTCCCTGTATTCACGTTGGTCCTTACCTGTAAAAATCTTTCTAACAAGAGCCTATTGTTGTTCACTAGATACAGTGTCGTGAACACAGGGCTCATCTTGCTTCAATAGTTCCATTTTGCACAAATAAATGTCTTCAATATTTGGACATTTTTAAGGTCAGGATACTTATATACTGAATATAGTAAAAATAAATAATAAATAAATAAAAAATTCATTAAATGTTGATGTCAAGGAAGAAGAAATTTGACCAAAGTGTACAGGAATATGTTTTAACGATGAGGGAACTAGGAAGTAGAGGAAATATAGAAAATGAAGTTGTTATACAATATATTATAGACGGAATTCCTGACGATTCAGCAAATAAAATTATACTTTATGGAGCTAAAAATTTTTCAGAATTAAAAGATAAAATTAAAGTATACGAAAGTATTGCAAAAAAGAGACCAGGAGCTGGTCAAAATCACTTCAATAAGCATAGAGAGAATAAAGATAAAAAGGAATACAAAGATGAAAGAAAAAATGAAGACAAGAAAGGTCAAAAGGAACAAGAGAAGAATAAATATCCGAAAAGTGAGAACTGTTTTAATTGTGGCAACCGAGGTCACAAATCGAGAGAGTGTCCAGACAAGAACAAAGGAGTTAAATGTTTCAAATGCAATGGATTTGGACATATAGCATCACACTGCTCCAAAACAACTGACGACGCAAAGAGAACCGCTGCTAATGTGTCAACTATTGATGTTATACCGAAGAATTCAATAAACCTAACATTTGATAACACCAGCATTGCTGCACTTTTTGATACAGGAAGTGATATAAGTATAGTAAGGGTAGATGTTTATGATAAATATTTTGCGGACCTTTTGATGAATGAAGAAATAATAACAGTGAAGGGATTAGGATCGAAAAGAGTGAAAACATTGGAATCGTTTCGAAAAGAAGTTGAAATAAATGATGAGACTTTTGATATTCTTTTCCATGTCATACCAAAAGAAGCAACGAATTTCCAGATTATCGTGGGAAATAACCTGTTGGATCAAGCTGAAGTTCACATAACAAAAGACGGCATAATTGTGTGCGCAAAAGAAAAGAATAATTTTTTAATGAATATTATTATTGAAGAAAATAAAATTAACGACAATGACTTAGAACTAGAGCATGTTCCAGACGAAAGCCATAAAAGACTTATAACAGAGATGATTAATGACTACAAACCAGAGAAGACCAAAACGACAGATATTAAAATGAAAATTATACTCAAGGACGAGGAACCGGTTTATCAGAGACCAAGAAGACTTTCAGAACCAGAAAAACTTGAAGTGGACAGACAAATTGAGAGTTCGTCGGATTTTGCAAGTCCTATTGTACTTGTACGGAAAAAAGATGGATCTGTAAGGATATGCTGCGACTATAGAAAATTGAATACCAAAATTGTGAAGGACAGATTTCCGCTATCACTAATAGAAGACGTTATGGATAAACTAGAAGGAGCTAGGATATTTACCACCATAGATTTGAAAAACGGATTTTTTCACGTTGATGTAGACAAAGATAGCAGTAAATATACTTCTTTTGTTATTGTGCAATAGTCCCGCTGTGTTCCAACGATTTATAAATCACATATTCAGAGAATTGACCGCCAGGAACATTATGATTTATTACATGGATGATATAATCATTCCAAGCAGTACTTATGAAGAAGGCATAGAAAGGTTAAGAATTGTGTTAGAAGTAGCTCGAAACTATGGGTTGGAAATAAAAAAAAGTAAATGTCAATTTCTCAAGAAACGGGTACGATTTTTAGGCTATATAATAGAGGATGGCAAGGTACAACCTTCAGATGAAAAAAACCTTAGCCATAAGACATTTCAAGGAACCAACTACTAGTAAACAACTACAATCATTTTTAGGCCTGACCGGTTACCTCAGAAAATTCATACCTTCTTACTCCACCATAGCAAAACCGATGAGTGACTTATTACGAAGAGACATACCATTTGAATTCAAAGAAAAACAACGACAATCTTTTTTGAAATTAAAGGAGCTGTTGACAAGCTATCCGGTGTTGCATATTTTTAAGAGAGGTTTACCTACAGAACTTCATACCGACGCCAGCATGCATGGATATGGAGCATGCCTGATGCAGAAATCCGATGTTGACACGAAGCTACATCCTATTTATTACCTTAGTAAAAAAACGTCGCCTGCGGAAGAAAGATACACGTCCTATGAGCTGGAAGTCTTGGCGATAATTAATGCGGTGAAGAAGTTCAGAGTTTATTTATTAGGTTTCAAATTTAAGATCATCACGGATTGTTCAGCTTTCCAAAAGACTATGCAGAAGAAGGCCTTATCAACGAGAGTTGCTAGATGGACATTACTTTTAGAAGAGTACGAGTACGAGATAGAACATTGCAAAGGAAGCAGGATGGCGCACGTTGACGCGCTAAGTCGTTATCCTATAGTGATGACTTTAACTGAAGAAGATGGGTTCTTGCAAAGAATAAGGCAAGCTCAAGACACGGATGAAAATATTGTGACCATTAAGAAAGTGCTAAGTTCAGGACAAGAACATGACAATTATTTTATTCAACATGATATAGTATACAAGTATGAAAGTGGAGAAGAACTACCAGTGATACCAAAAGCAATGCAGACAGAAGTTATTAGAAGGATACATGGAGATGGACATTTTGCGGCCAAGAAGACTCAAGAGTTAATAAAGAAGGAAGTCTTTATACTAAAGTTGAAAGAGAAAATCGTAAGTGTCATAGCCAACTGCATCCCGTGCATGCATATGATTTGTGCCTCGAGTTCTATGCATTTTCATTATTTTCCAAGTCCTTTTTGGTTTGTTTTAGAAGAAAAATATTATTTGAAATATTTCATTTCTTACCTGTTGAACCGCTGTCCCATCGGACAAAACCCATTCCACGTCAGGTGGCGGACTGCCTTGTCCGGTACAGTCCACTTTCCCACCAGTGGCAGCACCAAATTCCACCCGATGAGGTGGTTCGATGATGAATAGGGGACCCTGCAGATCCGAACCGGAACCTTGAAGCCCTCCCCATCCGCGAACTGAAAATGAAATTTAAAATCTTAGTAAATTCACATCTTTATACTGCAATTAGCGTAAAATCCTCTCTCAACAACAGTTATCTCTTAACCGTTTATAAAGCCGTCGTAAACTTTCTCGCAAACCGAAAATACGACCAGCCGATGGGTCATAAATTCTCCTGTGTGGTGTGCGGCGTTTTTGCGTCCGGATTAACCCAAATCCAGCACCGGGAGATAATAAAACCTATAGATATTCATAATCTCTCTCCCTCTTCTTATTTGATTGATTTCCGTGCGATTTTCCTACTCGGCTAAACGTGGAAATAAAAATGTTAAATGTCCCGAATAAGTCGGATAGCAGCAGGATAATAAATGCTCACTGGAATAAGAGTTATGGAATATTTCGTAGGTAGCTGGAAATTTATATTATTTAAATTAAAATCAGCCTAATAGAGGTGCATGCAAACTGCACAAACGGGAAAGTAGCCACAAAACCACTTAGAAAATAAATTACCGTCATGGAATAATCAAATTAAGGGATAAGCACAAGCTGTTGCCAAAATTACCGCCAGTTCCATTTAGTGTTTTGGCAAAAGTCATCATTTTAGGTGCGTAATTATTAGATTAACGTTAAGCGGTTGGTTTATCGCTATACGGCAGATGGTGAGCGTGTATTAGTGTATATCAAAGTCATAACATTATTAAATCCAGAAATTTTGGTTCATACAATTTGCACGGAAATACATTTTTTTTTATCGCAGCAGGAAATGATTGTGTAATAAATGCCCACTAAAAACTGTAGAGTGGCCCATTATTACAGCTTTTAATTGTAGCAGTGGCTCCGAACACGAAAATCTGGGTCAGACTCACGTCGTTCCGGATCATAATTTAGCTGTCAGTCGTACACGACGAGAGCTCTCTATCTTCATTTATCCGGGCCTAAAAACTCGCCCATTGTTTTTACTGAAAAATATATGCATTCGGCATTAGTACAAGCAAAAATTTACGACGTTGGTTGATGGGGATTTACGAATTTTTTTGGAGGAAGCGATAATGGATGTGATAATATTTTTTGGAGTAGCTACTGGAGGTAAAATTATTCAACATTCTTTGTAATTTCATTAATAGAGAAGTTAAATGTTTAATGAAAACGTCACACCGTGCTTGACTAAATTGTGTAGCTACTGTCTATTGTAACACATTCTTTTTGCTTGCTAGATTTGTTTAACATAACTTTTGGGGCTTGAAAATTTTCATGATTTACTTGTATGATGCTTCAAATTGACTTCTCTTTCCGTCTATTTCGATCGACCACCATGTGCTGACAAGTTTGAAAATAAGTTTTTCTCAATATCTGAGACGTACCACTTTTTTTTAAAGTAAATATATATTTTCTTCCATTTACTTCCGTTTCTACTTTGATGGTATCTTGACCAGGAGCTGCAGTGACTCTTTGATTGTTTTGAAATTGTACATAGGGGTCAAGCTATTCACGTTGGCTAGTTATATGGTTTGAAGCGCCATTATCAATAAATCAATCTTCCTCACTTTCACAAAAGAGTACCTACCTCAATGGACATTGGACATAGTATCAAACTCATATTTTTGTCTTTAGCATCTTTACTTTACTTATCGGTTTTCTCGGAGGTTAATGTACCACATTGTCTAACTCTATGTCTTTTAAGTCTACAGTAGTTGCATACTTGTTCTCGCGCTTTTCTTACTTGTATATAAAACTTCTTGACTGCCACTTTCTAAATATTGTCAACTAGCTGCTTAGGAAAGGAGGACCCGGTATTCAACCTTAATAATTTAATTGCCGATTCGATAGGATGTTTATTGCAATTCAGCAATAAATGGATATAAATTGCCGCGAGCCACAGCAAAGGCAGACTTAAACCAGTGCAAGTACCTGTCGTTGGAAAAGCCCCTCTGGAATTAAATCTCCCCAGTGCAAGTACCTCTCGTTGGGAACGCCCCTCTGGGTATCTTCAGCCTTATCGTTGTCCTGTGCAATTAGCTCTCGTTGGGAAAGCCCCTCTGGACAAGGCATAAGGGTGACAATAACTAATATACAGTCCTCAAGCAGCGTTGACGTGTGGCTCCCTATAAGAACTGTTCGAAGGGTCATGCATCTTATAGGACTAGTGTATATGTAAGGATATATTTAGAAAATATATATTAATTACCTTTTTATATAACTTGAGCGAGTTTCTCTCCATCGACCCCCAAAGCTACAAACCCCCCATGTCACCCCCGTAAAGCGGGCAGTTGTGACAATATTTTAGTACAAGGATTGTTAAGTATAATATTTTTTTGCTTTTTACTTATTTCCTTTAGGTTAGGTCAGGCTAGGCCAGGCCAGGCTAGGCCAGGCCAGGCTAGGCTCACCTCCGAGGAGCTGTGAGATCTGGTTGTTCGAGGAATGGTTGCGGATCAATCACCTCGAGCTAGTCATGGAAAAGACTGAAATATTACTAGTGTCAGGTAAGAGGAAAACGCCAGAGCTGATCCTGAACCTCAGAGGCAAAGACGTGACTACGAAGACGGAAATAATATACCTAGGGGTATGGCTAGATTCAAAACTGAGTTTTAGATCACACATCCGGAAAACGGAAAAAAAGGAATAAGGAAAGGGAAGCCTGCTCCAATAACACAGGGATAAGGATCACTCCAGACAATTTTATGGCAGTAGTGACAGAGAACCAACACAACTGGAGCGAAGTGAAGACCACAGATCACCTAATACAGATGCGAAAGTACGTATACTTGTCGTCGACGATATTCTGTGACGAAGCGGCCCCCCGCATAGATAAAGATCGCCCGCGTCAGGACAGTTAACGTGGCCGAGTGCGTGAGCATGTTCCAGCCTGTGTGTTTACATTTTGCGGGTAGAAAAAAATATATTTTTTTGCTGTTTGTGAACCAATTAAAGAAATAATATTATATTATTGAGCTTCCGCAATTATATAATAAATATGTTCAAAATACATTGATGTGGCATTGGTGCGGCCAGCCTATGTCTATCAAATTAATCTTGAACCACGAATTCGCAGCTCTTTCGCATCTGTATGTAAGTAATCTGTGTGAAGACGATGATTCACACAATCCTGAAAACTGTAATGATAAATTTTTCACTTACGTAACATGTTCCATCTCTTCTTAGTTGCATTATAAAGTTGTATTTTTGCCATTTCAGAATCAGCAAAATAATAATTCATAATCTAAGTAATTTAAAAATATCCATAAAGTTCGATATAATACCAGTACTGCCATCTATCCATCATGTGCATAAAATGCAAATATCTATTATTAAATGAAGGTACTGCCATCTAGTACCTGATGGATTTATTTTTCAAAGTATGATTTTAATTATTTCGCATTTGACAGTCATTTGTATTTTTATTGAAAGAAATTATATTTACCTATCTCACTTTCAGCAAATTGATATATTTCTGTCTTTCTCTCACTCCTGATTCTGAAATAATCATTTTTGGCCTAATGACCTAATTAATTAGCAGTTTTTTGTTTTTAACATAACCCTAATTTAAATTATTTTAATTTGTAAACAATTAAAATAATTCCAGTGGATTTTTATCTATTCTCTTTTGTTTTCACGTGGTTTTTCATTGTGAAGTGAATATGATCTTTTGGGTGAAGTCTTGGAATATTAGACCATTTGCTCTAAATAGAGTCAGTCAAAACCAAATTTGAGTGTCCATCCCTATCAACTCTTTATTGAATCCAGGCAGAGGCCTATATAGCCATTTTCTGTTTGACTCCGTCAATTATTACCTTCTGGAGGAGAAGAGTGTTAAAAAATAGGTGTAATTTTATAAAATAGAAATCCAGACAGGTCAAAAAATTCATTTAAAAAAGTCCGCCAAGATGGCGGACGAAAGATTAACGGAAGCAAATCCAGAATATGAATAACGAACGTACAATCGAGCCAGGCTAGGCAAGGCTATACGAATTTAAACCAACATTCAACGAGAACAAGGTGCACAACATAAGGTTATATTAATATTAAAGTATAGAAATAAATTATAGAGAGATTTGAAAAAATAAAAATCGGCCAATCTTTCATACGAGTCTGATCACAACTACTAGTTATTAGACAAGACTACTACTACAACCATTATTCAACTTTCATGTTTTTTAGTAGTCTAGTTTGTAAAGCTTTCTCCATATGCGATCAACTGATTCGTCATCTATCTTTGCTTGACACCCGACAGAATCCAACTGGATTCAAATGAAAAAAAAATTGAAGCTAGCGTTTCTGATATTCTACATAATACAAGTTACAAATCTATTCACACTTACAACTATTTACCATTTTTGATTTCTTCTATCGACATTTTACTTTGTAAGTTTTTCTATAAATTTTTAAATTTTTGCTGACGAGTATAACTGAAAAACGAAGATGTCTTCTCAATAAGCTTTAATTAATTTCAGAGACTATCACGGAATGTACTCTGATAATTTCAAAATTATCCTCCATATTATGTAACTTTATATGTTGTCTTGAAAATTAGATTTATGTTTTATCTGGTTTGTCTAAGTTATAATATAAATCCCTATATTATTATTATATACCTAATTTCCCTTTCCATTGTTAAATATAAGCGTATGCCATTGTAAAAGTTCACAATATTATAAAGCTGCTGAGTAAGCGGTACTGTACTGGAAAAGTACCGTCATATCAAGGTTTCGCCCACTCAGTTGCACTGTCAGATATATTTTATTATAAATACGGCGCGCAGAGCCTTCCATCATTCATTCTATTATTTTTAACTTAGACTACATTAATTAGAATCAAGATTCTTTTGTTATCGGCTTTTCGCCGCAGCAATTAGAGTCTAGTATTTTTTGTTGTAACTTCTTAGTTTTTAATAAAATTAATAGTTTTTAAAAACAAGATTTACTGAACGAGAAATATAATTTCTACGTCTTAAGGGAGTAAATAATGACATTTCATTGATGACTCGCATATTAAAATGTTTGTTATAATTTCTCATGAG